CCATATGTTCCAAGTTTCTACCGTAATCCACAACAGTGAGTGACCGCTGATTCGCTCTATACTGCAAATCTAAGTTGAAGCCTACAGTATGGTGCTTAAAGCTCGGCAAAAGACCCCTGGGAACGGAGATATTAACGATCAAACAGTGCATACATACTTTGCGGACACCCTGTATATATTAGGTTGGTGCAAAAGTTCTTTCGCACCAAATTCAAAAATTCATAACTTGTTGAATTCTCAACGAATCTGCAAGATCCAAATTTTGCATAAGAGAAGAACTCATGCTCTTTGCATGGGTACTTGAACCGTTCGCTATCGAGAACAGATAAAGAAGATTGAAGCTGATAACCAAAATCACTCAAAATTTGAATTTTTCGTGTAGGGTCATAAAAATCGGAAAATTGCAACCAAAATCGGAGCAGTCAGTATTGTAGGCTCTTTTACAAGCTCTTTTCACCAGTGCACCATTTTCAAAAATTCATGACTTCTGATTTTTTCAACCGATTTGACTGCTCTTATTTTTATATGAAAGAGTAAGTCAATCTCTTTATAAGGACATCTTAGCTGCTTACTGATGATCATCTATTGCATAGATAGGAGTGGTAGAAGAAAATTAGTCAAAATTCGAATTTTCTGTGTAGGGTCATAAAAAATCGGAAACATGCAACAAAAATCGGAGCAGTCGGTTTTGTAGGTTCTTTCATCAACTCTTTCTAACAGTGCAAAGTTTGCGCCGATTGAGCGTCTCTTTGAAAAGTTACGATTTTTGAGCAAGCAATACAAAAGGGCAAATTTGATTTATTTTGGCATTTTTCAGGGAAATCACAACTTTTCATAGAGACGCTCAATCGGCGCAATTTGCACTGTTAGAAAGAGCTGGTGAAAGAACCTATAACACTGACTGTTCCGATTTTTGTTGCAAGTCTCCGATTTTTTATGACCCAACACAGAAAATTCAAATTTTGACCAAATTTCTTCTAACGCTCCTATCTGTGCAACAGATGAACATTAGTAAGCAGCTAAGATGTCATTATAAAGAGCATGACTTACTCTTTCAGCAGTCAAATCGGTTGGAAAAATTAGAAGTTATGAATTTTTGAAAATGGTGCGACAGAACTTTCGGGCCAACCTAATATATACAGAGTGTCCCAAAAAATGTGCCTACTGTTTGATTGTAAATAACTCTCTTGTAATGAAATTTTTCAATAAGCTTTGGGTACCATTTTGTAGAGCGAGGTTAAACTTAGATTTACTGTATGGAGCGAATCATCATCGCTCTTCATTACTGTAGGATTACGGTAAGAACTTTCAACATATGGAACCATTGTGAACTATACCACTTAACAAAATTTTTTTTTCAAAAAATCTGAAAAATCGTGTATTAGGGTTTTCGCGCATGCTGATCCCACCTAACAACTTTTTACGAGTGTTTTCAGTTTTTTTTAAAGGTATAATCACATTTCTGACAAGTACTGGGAATTCAATTATTACGGTCTACCAGGGATAACTTGGGAAAGAAGCATCACAGTAAAATGGGAATTTCACATTCGAAATAAGCGGCTCCAATTACCGTAGAATAAGAGTTTTTGGCTTGTTTGGCTTTGTTCCGAGGCCGAATATAGCCTCCAAAGGCCTAAAATCCTTGTCGAAGTCCGTACCGTAATCCTACAGTAATGAAGAGCGATGATGGTTCGCTCCATACAGTAAATCTAAGTTTAACCTCGCTCTACAGCACGATACCTAAAGCTTGTCGAAACACTTCATTACAGAAGAGTTATTTACAATCAAACAGTAGGCACATTTTTTTGGGACACCCTGTATATTAGGTGGGTTCGAAAGTTTTGTCAGTTTTTTCAATCCATCGGTAAACACGCTAGAATGAAGATAAACGAACGCTTCAAAATGTCTCCGATGCAGAATTTCTTCCTTTTTCCAGCTGCTGAACTATTGTGTTTCGTTGCGAGAATGACGAGATATTTGCTGGAAATTACAACCACTCGTTTTCACCATGTCCAACTATCGCTAATTTTCAAAATTTTTGTATGAGACTTTCGGAGGAGCCCTAATAACCATCACATAAAGCAATCCCTTTGCCAACAGAAGCAATTTTTTGTAGCCCTACGGCTTGCCTTTCAGAATTTTTACGATTTATTCTTTGAAGTGACCAAATTTTACATTCAGTCTATTTTGACCTCGTAGAATATAAAATGTTGAACATTTCAGTCATCATTCGATGCAGAATTTTCTCCTCTTTCTAACACTTGACTTTTTTTGCCGAGACAGGCAAAATCTGTGGGAAAAATCGCAGTAATTCTCAATTACAGGAGTGCGCACTGACGTAACCTATGTTTCAAGATCTTCATAATTTGGAGCGAAAATTAGTGAACTGTTTTTCCGGTGCCCGCTTGCTCAAAATTCGCGTGGCCGCCTGCCCCCGGGAATATCTGAGCTACAGCGCTATAATTCGGCCGACGCGCACCGCCGCACCGAGGTCTGAGTAGGTGCGCCACCGGCCGTAATAAGGCGCGGCGTTCTCCAGCTGCGAGTGATGGCGCGCCGCTCGCACAGCAGCCTCAATTATGGCGCGCTGCTCGTGCTGCAGCTTCAACTAAAGCGCATTGCTAGCAGCGCAGCCTCAAATAGGGCGCGCCGCTCGCACTGTGGCGCTATTATGGCGCGCGCGTCGCAGCGAGTGTCGAAGTGACATCGCACCAATTTGCTTCTGGAACGAAAAAACCGTTTCAGAAGTGGAGACACGCCCCGGCGACTTGCCCGCTTTTCAATCAATAGCCAGAGTACGTATCCTCGATATCACGCATATGTCTTTCCTCAACATGACTTGGATCACGTAAATTTGGTAAGGAGCCGCCTCGCTTAGAGCTTGCGCCACTTTGCGAGGGCATCGTTTGGCGTGAAATGGTGCTTAAAACAAAGTGGCCCAGATTTTTCCTTTCGTTGTTCTCGTTACCAACATCACGCCAAAGATGTGTCCTCAACGTGGCGCAAGCTCAAAGCGCTTCATCAATCTGTAATACACGTCAGGTTGAGGGAAGACATATAGGTTGATATCGAGGGTATATCCCACACAGTCGAAACCTAGAATTCCACCGCGACTCTGCGTCTTAAAGGCAGCGTCCGGGCAAAAACGAAACTGTAGCGTACAGGGGTCCTCGGCCTGGTGGAGCTCTTGCCCAAGTGGCATTGCACCACTTTGCTTCTGAAGCGAGAAAACCGCTTCAGAAGTGGCGGAAGGACCGCCACGGCGACGTGCCCGCCCCTTCAATCGATAGCCAGAGTATGTACGTCAAGCACGCAACTCTGTGTCTTAACCTCGGCGGCAAGCGTCATTATTCAAAATCAACTGCTTCTGGAGAAGCCCTTTTTCGACATCTTCGTTCTCTGCAAGCTGCATTTTCGAAATCAACGGAAGAATAAGGCCAGGTAAGCGAAAAGAATTTTGTTCGAGATTTTGCCCGGACGCTGCCTTTAAGACGCAGAGTCCTTGCCTTTAAGCCGCTGCCTGCCCTCGACTACTGCCTGTCAATTCGGGTCCAGTCCGGAGCGCCATGCTTGTTGTGCGGTTTCTGAAAGTCTAGGTGATTGATATGTATCTAAGTTCTGTCGATAGTGATTTTTTGATATTTTTAATCAAAGAGCTTTGAGAGAAACATATTAGAAAGTTACTTTTTTATGCGCGGAATAAAAAATAGGAAGCGTCTTGGAAATTTTGCGTGAGAACTATTAGGTTGTCCGGAAATTAATGCCCGTTTTGAATTTGAACCGCAATAAGTCATACACCTTTCACTTCTAAATAGGATGCAGAGTACCATTCGATAGAGTAAAGCAAGCTCTACAAAATGGCCATCTTGCTTTTGCAACAGCTCTCATCCACCTCGAGTTTTGAGCCAAAAACTAAAAAGACCCAGCAGCACGAAAAATCGAAAAAAATCGTAACTCAGTTCATAAAAATCCTACAAAGATTCTTACTTGCTCACGTAAGCACTATCCACATAAAACATCTATACACGCCTTTGCCGTATTTTTTCCCCTGTTAGAAATCAAGAAAACGGAAATTTTCGTGCATTTGCCAAAGTGATGCTGCGCTGTCCCCACATAGGTAGTTGTATACCACAAGCCTGTAGAAGTACAGACTTAAATTTTCAGCTCTCTATAAGCTTTGGTGCACGAGAGATACCGAATATAGCGTTCCCTAGTTAGGTGGTCCAAACTGAAATTCAAATTTCTCGAGAACTAAAGCTTACAGAGGGCTGAAAATTCAAGTCTGTACTTCTACAGGCTTGTGGTATACAACTACCTATGTGGGGACAGCGCAGCATCACTTTGGCAAATGCACGAAAATTTCCGTTTTCTTGATTTCTAACGGGGGAAAAAATACGGCAAAGGCGTGTATAGATGTTTTATGTGGATAGTGCTTACATGAGCAAGTAAGAATCTTTGTAGGATTTTTATGAACTACGTTACGATTTTTTTCGATTTTTCGGGCTGCTGAGTCTTTTTAGTTTTTGGCTCAAAACTCGAGGTGGATCAAAGCTGTTGCAAAAGCAAGATGGTCCTTTTGTAGAGCTTGCTTTACTCTATCGAATGGTACTCTGCATCCTATTTAGAAGTGAGAGGTGTATGACTTATTGCGGTTGAAATTCAAAACGGGCATTAATTTCCGGACAACCTAATATTTCCTTGAAAGCGGCAGTAACAGATAGAAGAAGACATTTGTGATACAATATAGAAATGACCTTGAGAAAGCATCTCTTGCAGAATATCTGACACTGTGGTAGTTTTGGGTTGCGCGTGACACATCCTCTTTGATTCCATTTTCCTCTCCACCAATCTAGCGAAAAACCGAAAACTGCAGAACGCAAGGGGTACTGTCGCAGTTGTTTGTGATCTGGGCATACGGATCCGATGCGGATCCACCACACATGAAGTTACAAGTGACTTGTCGACATAATGAGGGATTTGCACTCGAACGCTTTCTTTAGCGACATTGAGCCGCTGAGACGATTAACAAATGGAGCCAGACCGCGGCAAAGCAGATTCACGTATACTGACACTGTAATTTGTCAGGTTGGTTTCGAAACCTGCAATGACATTTTTCTATGTACGAGTCGTTTTATAGGGCTCTGCGTGATCGCGAGAGTCGATGAGTTTCAGCCATTGCACATGCAGGATGCCACGAGACCTCAAAACAGTCAAACAAACCCGTACTTTTCAGAACCGTTTCAGGTAATTGGAAGCTAACATCTGATAGCAGAAAAGCGTTTGAAAGGAAAAAGGTAACTGAGAAAGTTCAGCGCGTGCAATGGTCGCAAACTCGCCGACTTTGGCGATGACGCAGGGCCTTATTTCATTCATCTTCCAGATCCCTACACTTAGATTCAAGGATGGTGAGATGCGCCCCACTGATTCCCCTCCATACGGTTTACGAAATTATTTCGGCATTGGTACACCAGTGGTCACATCTAACGAAACTGTATTTATGATTAAAACAATGAGTACGGTGGAATCGGGGTATGCCTGTGCATCTCTTTCATTATCTTTCGAGCTTCTTATATACTCAGATATCTTATGACCTTGAATGAACGCGTGTGTGTTTTCCCCAATCGAAGGTTCGTAATTTGTCGAGATGGATTAATTGGAGAAGGGCGCTTTATTGAGCCGTATTCTGAGAGCAAAAACCCGACTTTAGTGGTAGGTATCTCAGATGTTTTCGTCGTATTTGAAGCTCCGCAATCAACTCCGTTGACAGGAGAAGTTGATGGAAGATTTCGAGCTCATTCCTCGTAATCTCGCCGTGCAGATTCGCAACGAAATCCAAGCGAAAGAAGTTGAGCTTGGTGGAGCACAGCCAAGTAGCTCACATTTAGACGATGTGGACTGATAGCTCGAATTAAAAAACCGAAGAACAAGCAGAGTATTCGAAGATGCATTCCATGCTATGACGTTACCCGAATAGTTCTGTGGTTTATATGTTTAAGGTAGTGGTGGTTGGCTAGTTAGCAGTCCTTTGTTCCCGTATAATTCTTTACAGATTCAAAAGTGCATGTTCCATCTTATAAATATATGAAGCTGAATGCCTGTTTGTCTGTGTGTGCATACAATCATCTAACAATAAGGGCGACAGCTCAGCGCAGTGCAATCGCATCACTACGTGCGGACTGGCTTCTCAAGTAAAGTATTCTTACTGGTAGTGTCCGGGCAAAAAATCGACTTTGAGACTTTGTGCTAACCCGGGCCTATACGCTATGCTGAATCCGAAAATGCACACTGGAGAGCGCGAAAACGGCGAAAAATAGCTCTAACGCAGGAGGGAAACCAGAAGTGGACGGGGTCTCATTGTAAATTCACGGTCTCAACTTCCGGAGCGATCTTCTCGTTCCGACTTCAAGTCAAGCATTTGCACTTGGCCTGTGGAGATGTCAGGGCGGCTAACGGAATCAGCTGGGACCATGAATTCACAGTGGGGAAGACCCGCCCGCTTCTGATTCTTCTCCTACTTTAGAGCCCTTTTTCGCCGTTTTCGCGCTCTCCAGTGTGGATTTTTGGATTCAGCATAGCTAATAGGTCCCGGTAAGCAAAAAATCTCAAAGCCGACTTTTTGCCCGGACATTGTCTTTATGGATAACAGTTGAGAAGCAGGAAATCTGTGTGTGCACTATACTTTGGACCGAAATCGGGAATCATTTGTTACAGTGCCTGTCATAACTTATGAAAAAAGCATTACTGTTAGATGCAAGAAGGACCTGAAGTCGAAGTAATCTTTCCACATCAATCGAGCATTGAAAGCTGATACCAAAACTGCTTTGTTGCCTGCCAAGCACCTCTGGAATCCAAGTTATAAGTTTATGGCTTAAAATATTGAAGGCGAGACTGGAACAATATCGTTCCAAGATTTTCAACTAACCCAGTGTCGGATATCAAAGCGCTCTATGCATGAAGTATCTTTTGTCTAATATACTCATACTCAACACTAGCTTTTCCTAGCAAATAAGCAAGAACCTAGCAGAAATTCAAAAAATGAACCACTTCCATTTTTTAGCGGAATTTTGACAAACTGGCGAGACATCAGTGACAACAACGATGAACTGTAGGCTATTCGCTTCTTTCATAAAACCAAATCACTCCAATCTCACTAGGTTGCAAACAACATATTCTTCTTTCCCATAGCAGCTTGCCGTAGTCTCATTCTGAAATGTGGAAGAAACCTGTTGTGGAATAAATATGGCTAGAAAAATTTCTATTTGTGAGAGCTAGGCTCGATCCATTGAAATACATGTGAATTAAAGGGTTTAACAATCAAGAACATCGAGATTTGTGCAAAGTCACTGATGACCTTTTCTTTTCTTCCTGCCAATCGTTTTTTTTGCGGAAACATCGCCAGCTTCTAAGCACTCGCCTTACAGACATTACCAAGAAGTGTTTCATCAGTAAACAGCTTTACTGATGTACTGCTAGTAAATACTGTTTGCACCGCCATCAACAGCTGCGCGATTCAAGCTTAAATGCTTTGTGAGTGAATCGATTCGGTATATTTCAATGAATTTTGAAAGTCGACATTCATCTCGGCAGTACTAGTTCTTCCGGGCCTCTGCAACAAGGTCTCAACTTATAAAAGAATACCACTTTCATGGGAAGTTTGAATGCTATTACACTGGCTTTGCAGTGCCGACAACATTTGCGCTTTAAAAAAGTGATTTTATTGTTGGATATGAACGTTCATTACGTACGAATAATACTGCAGGATCAACGTAATATTCGTTGAAAAAGTCTTTGTTGAAAACTGATTCTTTTGAAAGATAAGAATTTTGGTAGAATCACGCTTTTCACGGAAATGATAATCAACGTAAATGAGGTTGCTTGCGCAAAAATTACTCATTGAAGGCTAATTAGTGAACTGTGCTTATAAAATACTCAGAAAATTACTGAACCGATTGGAAATGTTAAGAATTCAACATTGAGATTCCACGAGATATTGAGATTCCACGATTATCACTTCATCACTGTCCGAGCTGAAATACAACATCCATGTGTCTCGCTCTTATCCATTCCAAATTTACTTCTTGACATTAATGCTGGAATGTTCCACAAATTTTTTTTAGAACATCAGTTACAAGCTATACCTTCGTAGATTGAGGCCACTAAAGAAGACTTTCCCCAAACTCTTTTCTAGCACTCAACTTTATCTAAACATAAAACTTGCAAATTTCATCCAGCGCCACTCTTTGCCTATATTTGTATTACAGAAAACATCAACTAAACATTCCCTCCCCCCCCCCACTTAAAACTGATTTCAAATCCTTCTGTGAATTCTGGCTACTCATTGCGTCCTTATCGTATGATAACGTCAATTTGTTCGCTGATCTAAACATTCTGAATGTTGGGAAACATTGAGTCCACGCTTTCATCTCATGGCGATGCAAATGGTGCCCTTTTTTTAGCCAGTTAAGAATGTTCTTTTTCTGTAGTTGCTGCTTGACTGGAAAGACGACCGCTAAATAGGTCGGAGTAAACTCTGCAAAGTTTATTTCCGACAGTGCCAAAAACAGATAACTTCTTCCTTTGCGCCCGTAAAAACTAAAAAACAAAGCTATTAGGGCATTTGATAAATCGTGACGATGGCGCGACCGTGCGCGACACGCACGCCTTTCGGCAACACATTTCCTTGGTTTCAAATCTCTATTCGACTGGTTTTTCTGCTTGGGATAGCGCTTGGACACTGAAAGTGACTGAGCTGAGCGTTGAGGTGATGCACTTTTGTATGAAGTTGTTATGATCCTGTGGGCGCAGTCAAATCCGTCGTCACGATTTTATAAATGGACCTTACACGCAGTGGGTCTGCTTATTCACTCGAGTTGTGACCAGGGTCAAGCGTGTTGATGCGATCCGGGACCCTCATTTGCGACCCCCCCCCCCTTGAAGGTACCCATCGTACGACCCCCCCCCCCTCCCTTCCCTCACCCTCCCCAATCTATCCCCCTTACTTCCCCTGCCCACATTCCTCGCGGTAACCTGCATAAACAAATGTAAATCCCAAAAAACACCTGCGTGAGAACTCCAGTGAACTTTCGAAAGCAGAATTTCTAGGTCAATGGGTGCGCCCAGCGTCTGTAGCACACATACACACCTTCAATTGTTTGAGATTCTGCAAGTTTTTTTTTTGAATTTTCAGGCATACTTCAGACCAGCAAATTCAATTCCCGTATGCGACACAAATTTCTGCCCGAAGAAAAAATGACATTCTTGAGCTACAAAGATATTTTCGACTAAAAAGCTTACTTCCTACCTTTTCCACATTTTTCCTGCGAAAAAAACCGCTTTAGCGCCGTCCAGAATGATGTCAAAAACGTACAATACCGCTCTCAGAATGTGCAAAATTTCCGTGAATTCCGCGAACTTCCGCGACATTCCGGGAATTCCGCGACATTCCGGGAATTCCGCGAAATTCCGGAAATTTCGCGAAATTCATGTGAATCACGCAAATTACGCAGGGCCGAATGAGTATATTCAAAATCCGAAAACAGCGTTGTATTCAGCTCGTCAAGGCGAATCTTTTGGTATACAGGTTGTCTCCAATATCCTCTTTTCAATAATCTTGAATCTGCATGCGGACGCCTTTTCGCGTGGGTGTAACGCAACAAGCTTCACACATAGAAGATTGCTGCGGGTACCCTTCGATAGTACTCTTTCAGTATATTATTCTGCGCTAAACAGCAGCCGAAGACTCTCTTTTAAAAGAAATAGAAGAGCTGATAAACTCTGGAAAAATCAAGCTGTTCCAAGTTCTACTAGCCGTAACTTCCTTCAGAATGAACATCTTCGAAATCCGAAAACAGTATTGTGTTCAGCTCGTTAAGGCGAATCTTTCGGTATACAGCATGTCCTTGAAATTCCGTTTCCAATTTTTTCAAAATTTTCTGCGCTCGTATATTCATAAGGTCGCAACGCAGCGCACATCAAACATAAAAGACTCCAATAAGCACTATTGGATTGTGCTGCTCCCGCAGATTACCGAGCGCTAAAAACGAACTGAAGAATCTTTTTCGAAAAAGATAGAAGAGTTGGTGAATTCTGGAAAAATCGTGTTGTGTCAAATTTTGCCTACTGTAACCCTAAAATGGGAAGCTCTCCTGCTAAGCAGATGTGCTTTTCGTAATCAGCAGGTCAGATAACCTCTATGAACAAGTTTTCAAAGAAATTCGGGTGATTTGATTTTTTCTCGTTCTACGCCCTGAAGCTCGCCGATGGGTTTTGGTCAAAATGTCGATGATCTCGGATTGTAAGGAAACTTCGCTCAAAGAGGTTATCTGACCTGCTGATTACGAAAAGCACATCTGCTTAGCAGGAGAGCTTCCCATTTTAGGGTTACAGTGGGCAAAATTTGACACAACACGATTTTTCCAGAATTCACCAGCTCTTCTATCTTTTTCGAAAAAGATTCTCCAGTTCGCTTTTAGCGCTCGGTAATTTGCGGGAGCAGCACAATCCAATAGTGCTTATTGGAGTCTTTTATGTTTGATATGCGCTGCGTTGCGACCTTGCGAATATACGCGCAGAAAATTTTGAAAAAATTGGAAACGGAATTTCAAGGACATGCTGTATACCGAAAGATTCGCCTTAACGAGCTGAACACAATACTGTTTTCGGATTTCGAAGATGTTCATTTTGAAGGAAGTTACGGCTAGTAGAACTTAAAACAGCTTGATTTTTCCAGAGTTTATCAGCTCTTCTATCTCTTTTAAAAGAGAGTCTTCGGCTGCTGTTTAGCGCAGAATAATCTACTGAAAGAGTACTATCGAAGGGTGCCCGCCGCAATCTCCTATGTGTGATCATAGGTGCGATAGGGGGAGCCGGGCTCTCCCCAGGTGAAGGGGGTCTCGGCTGTTCCCGACCTTCCGGGTGAAGGGGGTATGTGAGTCTTAGAGGGGGGGAAGAGAGAAAAGGTAAAAAAGCGTGCTATGAAGAGCTCTAATTTGTACCTTATTTAGGCACAAATTGAAAAAAAATTTAAAAATTTTCAAAAGAAATTAAAAATTTTTTAAAAAATTTGATTATGAAGATCTGTGCTCCTGTTTC